GATTCTCTTGCCTCAGCCTCCCAAATAGCTGGGACTACAGGCGCCTGCCACACCTGGGTTTTTTTTTGTTAGATATGGGGTCTCACTCTGGCTCAGGCTTGTCTCAAACCTCTGAGCTCTGAGCTCAGGGCAATTCACCTGCCTTGGCCTTCCAGAGTGCTAGGATTACAGGCATGAGCCACCATGCCCAGCCACTATTCCTAGATTTAGATGCTGGCCACAAGGATGTTCCATCTATAAAGATCATTCAGCCTTGGGCAGCGCCTGTGGCCCAAAGGAGTGAGGCGTTGGCCCCATATGCCAGAGGTGGTGGGTTACAGCCTGGTGCCGGACAAAAACTGCAAAAAAACAAAAAAAGAAGATCAAGCCTCAGCATCCATAGCACAGTGGTTACAGTACCAGCCACATGCACCAAGGCTGCCAGGTTTCAGCCAGCCCAGGCCTGCCAAACAACAACTGCAATAAGAAAATAGCCCGGCATTGTGGCAAGCACCTGTAGTCCCAGCTACTTGGGAGTTTGAGGGAAGAGAATCATTTAAGCCCAAGAATTTGAGGTTGCCATGAGTTATGACGCCATAGCACTCTACTGAGGACAACATAGTGAAACTGTCTCAAAAAAAAAAAAAAATCATTCAGCTGTACTGTTATGATTGAATCTTTTGCTGTATGTATGCTGTCAAGGGCTACTGCAGAAAGGAACCCTCATTTGTTCAGTTTTCCTGCATCCTTTGGGTGGGTACTGCCCACACTGACTCTGGATTTAACCATGCGACTCACTTTGCCCAATGGCACAAAAGCAAATGTTGTGCAACCAGAGGCTAAAGAGGTGCTTTGTACATCAGGGCTGGCCCTCTTATGCTGCTTTTGGGAATTCCACAACCGCACATATAAGAACAAGTCCAGGCTAGCCAGACAATAATGAAAGACACATAGCCAAGTCACCTCTGTGACCAACCATGAGAAGTGAATGAGGCCATCAACCTAGCCTCAACTTAGCTGCCAGGTGATCACTAAGATCAGCTGAGCTGGCCCAGAGCAAAAG